TTTATTTTCACCTCCCACTTCTGCCATTATTTTGCCATGAACTTCATCATCAAAGCAACATTGATAGAAGAGATATGAACTTGTTTGTTTGCCTTGTTACAGCTAAAGATGTTTTGGTGCATGTCCTGATGCCATTGCTCCCTTGTCTGTCTATGTCACAGTTCTTAAGAATGGTGAAAGTGACTGGCACTGTGTTTGTCTGTTGCCCTTTTGAAGCCTGTTGTTGAACTTTAATAAAAGAAAGACTGATTACTTATGTCCATGTTTGGACCTGTAAAAAAGAAAGCTACACTACTTATCTCTGCCCATGTCTGACCTGGGGCCTATTGCACAAAACTAGGATAAGGGATTAAGCCGGGATATCTTGGTGATCCTGGTTCAATTTATCCGTGATCCGGTTGCACTAAAGCTGGATTAGATGGCGGCAGGATGTTATGGTATAAATTACCATGGAGATTTATTCTGTGGAGCTAGCCTGCTCCAGACCAGGCTAAGTTCCAGGATTTATTTAATCTCATCCCTTATGTCAGTCAGCAGTCACCACAAACGGAAACCAATAGTTATTTCACTGCACACTATACATTGTTATCACATATAATTAGACCCACTGTCATTGTTTAAACGTTTGTGATCATTAATTTCAATCATTTTGGATAAATGATGATTTTTAGATGATGTTGCTATCATTAGATAATTTACAGTTTCCCATAGACTATAAGGCTATATATAAAATGATAGAATATTAGGGCCACAGAGGGAAAAAAAAAAAATTCACAGACTTCGATAATGACGTCTTTAATAATATTGTAACCCGTTGTTTTAGAGGAGGACAGTTGTAATGACAGCTGTGGGGCATTTCGTGGAAGTGTTCTTCAGTATGGTTCCACAATCAAGGACATACTTAATCTTTTGGCACATCAGCATCACATTGTCATATGTATCAGGACTGTAAAAAGAATATGCATCTTTTAGGGAAAAAAGAACCAGCCTCATAAATGTATGACTTTTTCCTTCTTCCTTAGTGTGGCCTTAATACTCTGTCATATAAAATACACATTCCATATAAATATAAAAACACAAAGTGTAACATTATGTTCCTTTATTGAATAAGGATAAAACAAAGCAGGTAAACCATCAGCTCCTTTCGAAACTGAAGTCACACAGTGACTCTACAAGATGGAAAGCACAGAATCAAAGCATATTATACAACAAAAGGATAAATACACATTCAAAAGGTCTGTATATAACACACCCCGCATGTCTGCACACTGAAATAAATGCAGGACAAATCCATACAAATCAACTGAACAGACAAATGAATGGATACAGCACAAACATAAGAGGCCAAATCAATAATATATATATATTGAACACAAAAAAACCCAAATTCCTCTGCCACCGCAGGACATATTTAACCAAAATTGAAAGCACATATACTAACTAAAATAATTCAACACATATTGGTCCCTCAGCAGCCGACCACTGTCGTCATCACAGCTTTAGTGCAACCGGATCACGGATAAATTGCGCCAGGATCACCAAGATATCCCGGCTTAATCCCTTATCCTAGTTTTGTGCAACAGGCCCCTGGTATGGGATGCCATTTCTGTGCAATATATACATCTGTGTTTACATCAATGCAAAGAGGCAACAAGTAAAAGCACAGTACAAGCCGATGGGAATGTAATTACTGGTGGATCTCGGTGCCATGGCCATCAAAATTTTTACCTGATTTCATGCCATTCCCTTCAAAAGTTGTTGAAACCTTTTCAGTAGTGGACCAACTGGCCAACACTGCCATCTCAAGAGCCGTGATGCTGGCCTGGCTGAAAAACCTGGGTTGCTTATTAAGTCTCTTATATGATCGTTCGACCGGAACAACTTGAGGTCGAGTGAAGACAGAGGATCTCCTAAGACGGTTAAATCTCTCCTGAGGAGTGAGGACTGACCCATGAGCCAGGATACATGAGTGTCCTTCACAGAAGTCTTTTACAGACTGACGTGCTCCTTAATTGGAAATCAGTCGGTGATTGGATGCATCCGATGAAGGAACGGACATCTCATGTCCCTTAAAACGTTTCCTCATTTTCTCTCTTCTCACATTTTCCTCACATCTCACAAAACTAAGACAAGGAAAAGAACCATTTGAGGGACCCATGTAAGAGACTTAGGAAGCAGCCAGAGTCACACTGACATCTGGAGACTGAATTCTTGAAAATGACTCTCACTTGTGGTTATCAAAAAGTGCAGTGTCTGTTGATCTCACACTGCATAATTACCACTAGATGGCAGCAAACGCAGGTCTTTGAAATGGCTCTGATTAAAAACTATATTGGCACAAATAGATGATCAAAGATTTTTATTGTCAATTCACTATATGTGCAGAACATACAGAAAATCTAAATACGGTTTCTCTCACCTAGTATTGAATGCCATACTATTTAGGAAACTAAAATAGAATAAAAGTAGGATTAAAAAGAATAAGAAAACTAAATCAAAGTGATTAGGATAAAACTAAATGGTACAACCTGATAGGCTATGACTCAAACCATGTACAATCAGTGACAGTAGTGCAAATGGTAACAAGAAGATTGTCAGATTGAGATGCGCATGGACAGTGGTGCAAATGACCAACAGCAGCAGATATGACAGTAAAAACAGTCAGCAGCAGATTTACAAGCTGTTTGCAAGTCTGGTGGAGTGGGCCTGAAGACTCTGATACCTTCTCCCTGAAGGCAGAAGTCTGAAGTGGGAGTGTGAGGGGTGGGAGGTGTCATCAGCAATGCTGATGGCTCTGCGGGTGTTGAAGATGTCCGCAAGGAAAGGCAGAGGGACACCGATAATCTTGATGGCTGTTTCCACTGTGTTGCAGGGTCCTTCTGCAGGAGGCAGTACAGGCTCCGTACCACACAGTGATGCAGCCAGTGATGACGCTCTCAATGGTGCCCTGGTAGAAGGAGCACATGATGGGGGGTGGGACACTGGCTCTCCTCAGTTTGTGGAGGAAGTAGAGGCGTGTTTGAGCCTTCTTGGCCAGTGATGTGGTGTTGTTGGTCCAGGAGAGGTCCTCAGAGATGTGCACCCCCAGGAACTTGGTGCTGCTCACTCTCTCCACTACAGCACCGTTGATGGTCAGTGGGGGATGCTTTAGAGGTTTCCTCCTGAAGTCAACAACAATCTCTTTAGTCTTCTCTACATTGAGGAAGGGGTTATTGTCTTTATACCACTGTACCAGTTGGCACACCTCACTCCTGTAGTTGGCCTCATCATTGTTGATAATGAGGCCAACTACAGTTGTGTCATCTGCAAACTTGACAATGTGGTTGGTGCTGCAGGTTGGCACACAGTCGTGGGTCAGCAGCGTGAAGAGCAATGGGCTGAGCACACACCCCTATAAAGCTCTTGTACTCAGCGTGATGGTCTTGGAGATGTTGCTGCCGACCGGCACATTTTGTGGCCTCCCTGTTAGAAAGTCTAGCACCCAGTTGCAGAGAGAGGTTTTGAGTCCCAAGTGTCCAAAAACATCAACTTTAATGAGTACACTGGCACCAGTCATCTTGTAGGTGACTCAAATTACACAGAGCCACTGAGTTTCCCTTTAATGGATCTTGTGCCTGCGTTGGTAACTGCAGATGTAAGGTTGCAAATTTTTCAGTCTGTAACTTCCCAGCATTTAGTCTGGACACATGCCTTTGCTATATATTCGGATGCTGTTTTTCTAGCTGGCTTCTGTAATCCCAGGTTTTCTACACAGTAACTGTGATTCTAACTCTTTTAGATTTCAGGCCTGGTTATTTGACCTTGGTGATGTTTCTACGTAACGTTGGTGAGATCAACTCCACGGTGTTTCGCAGCAACAGCCTCAGCTCTGTAACCAGGCTCAGGATCAACAACGCTGGTGTCACAGGAATCGCTGAAGGGGCCTTTGGTTCCTTCCAGTACCTCACAAGCCTCAGTTTAAACAATAACCAGGTGACCCAGATTAACCCAAAATGGTTCAGCCAGCCTGCTGTCCTCACTGAGCTCAGCTTGGCAGACAACCAGATTGAAGTTGTGAACGCGTCTATGCTCACTGGACTCGTTAACCTCAGGAATCTCTATCTGAATAAGAACAGAATCAGAAACATTGATCCAAAAAGTTTTAGCTCCCAGACCAACTTGACTTCGTTGGACTTGTCTGAGAACAGGATGACTCAGGTCTCACCTCAGGTCTTCAGCTCTCTCAGGTCTGCCAGGATCAGACTGGATGGGAACCCCTGGAACTGTTCGTGTGACGCTAAGCACTCTGTCGACTACCTGAGAGGTTTGTGAAATGTGAGACCAAGACGTCCTGCGTGTTTACAGAACATTCAGAAAACTAAAGCTGCTTCTCTTCTCAGACCTACAGAGCAGATCTCAACTAGACAAAGAGATGGAGGTGACCTGTAAGAGTCCACCATCTCTGAAGGATCGACCTGTGTGGAACGTGTCAGTGTGTGAGACATCGCCTACACCATCAGGGATACAAACTGTCCAACCCAAACCCAGTGATGTAGTCACAGCTGTCCCTGTGTCCTCTGGTACATCTGCTTCTTTCTCGTCTCAGTTTTTGTTTTTTGCTTGAAATTTGATTTATTTTACCGTTTCTGTCCAACAAATTTCCAGGAGACTCTCTACATAGTTTGTTTAAAAATGAGTGAATATTTGGTTGAGGATACTTTTGAGTTAGGATATTTTTGAGAAAGGCCGTTACAATTTATGTATTAACATGGGCAACATAGCATAATTTGCTAAATGCAATTCATGTTTAACTACATGGAATTTTCTGACATGTGCTAATATGATTACATCTTACAGATTTGAAGAATACCAGATGAACAAAAGCATCACAAATGAACCAGAACAGCCTTCAATCTCACAATTTCTGGACATCCATGTAGGGCTTATGTACTTATGTTTCTCTCTCTCTCTCTCTCTCTCTCTCTCTCTCTCTCTCTCTCTCTCTCTCTCTCTCTCACACACTCTCACACACACACACAACATGAGATGAGCAGGGGACAAGACAGGACAGAAACTTGGTACTATGGTACTCATTATAGTGTTATAGAAATTAAATGGCGCCACCTTCATTGTTGTGGTTTTCAGTGGTTGAACTACACATGCCAGCACTTTTTGTGCAAATATTTTCAGTTATACTTTTGCACCTTTAGTTTATTCTGTGAAGTAATAAGTTCAGGAACAATCTTCCTCCAAATATGTTATATGGAATTGGTTACTAGTGCAATATAGATTTACAGTATTAGCACTAGTTTTGTAAGTTTTGTTTGTTTCATCAAATGTCTTTTGATAAATAAATGCAGAATTTAGATGTATACATGATCTGTCATATTATTACTCTGTGGTTAAAAGGACTCGAAATTCAAAGTTTAGGACTTTGGACTCGACTTGGGACTCGCCAGTCTTGACTTTGGACTCGACTTGGGACTTGCCAGTCTTGACTTGGGACTCGACTTGGGACTTGGAGACAACGACTTGAGACTGACTTATGACTTGCCAAACAATGACTTGGTCCCACCTCTGCTAAATGCTAATGATGTGACGTTCCGTATCGAGGCTTCGAAGCGTGTGCCGAGTAGGGGAGGGGGCGTTTCCGCGATGCGGGGGCGTTTCCGCATGTGTCGGGAAATCCAGGAAGTGTTTAGTGAAGCGCGTATCGAGGCTTGAATTGTTTACGGCGAGTGACGTCATCGATTACGTTTGAACGCGCCTCACTGCGCGTAGCGGTTCGGGAAGTTGTTCGAATTTTGCCGCGATGTATTGATAGTTATAAAGCCCAAGGAATCTCCACACAATTCGTGGGTAGTGTTGGAGTCGTCAGAGTTGGTGAGTTATGTATTTCCAAAAAGAGGAATAGCTTAAACCCCAACACACTGAACAAATACTGATTTAAATAAAAATGAATAGTGAATTAGACTCCTAAACAGCTGAGCTGACAGGAGTTTATTACCAGGAACTTTGCGATGTAATTCCACCTGTATTGTTTACATACTCAGTTTGCACATGCACAATTGTACATTCACTGCTGACTATTGCACATACAGCTTTTGAAACCTATAGGTGACTTCACAGAAGCTACAGTGAGGATCCTCTACAATCTGTCAACTCAATGTAAAGGAAGTCAGTGAAAGTTTTACAAGTTCCTGTTCTAAACTCTTCACACCTGATACAGTAGATCTTTGTTGTGAGAGTTGGTTTGGTGTCCTCATGGGGTTACCGTAGGAACAGGAAGCAGGAAGAGATTCGGAAAAAGGGGCCCATGTAAAACGCTTGGAGATTCAATAAAGAACAGGATGTTACACTGAGAAAGAGAACGATCTTCTTTTTTGTCGTAACATGACATGGTTTCAGAATTGAGGACTTCACGCCACTGGACAGGTCGACATGGCTAAGTTGGGCCCCCGGAGCCGTTCAACTTTGCCCAGCCGGGTGAGTGGCTGATATGGAGGCAGAAGTTTTCCCGATCCAGAGTAGCGTCAAAGTTGGATAAGGAGAGCGGCGAAGTGCAGGTTAATTTGCTCCTGTATGTGATGGGGAGAGATGTGGAGCCGCTGTACAGCACTTTTGTGTTTCCTGCTGCTACGGAGGCGGTTCCAAACTCGGAGTTTGACTTTAAAATAGTGATGGAGAAATTTGACGAACATTTCGTCCCCAAACGGAACGCCATTCATGAGCGCACCTGTTTCCATAAGAGGAGCCAAAGGGCCGGGGAGACAGTGGAAGTTTTCTGCATAGCCTGTACGAGCTCGCACAACATTGTGACTTCGGGGACAGTAAGGACGAACAGATTTGGGACAGAATCATCATAGGTATTATGGATAACGATGTCTCACAAAAGCTCCAACTTGGGGCGGATTTGACCCTGGAGAGGGCCATCCAGCTCGCACGACAGTGTGAACAAGTGAAACACCAGAGCTCAGAGTGAGTGGAAAGTGCTGTGAACGAGGTGAGACACAAAGTACAGTAATTTGAGGCACGGCAGCCATGGGGTCCAAAACGCAGCGGGGCTAAACAGACCTGTCAATGGTGCAATAGAATGCATGATGATAAAGGAAGCTGCCTGACCAGAAACAAAACATACAGAAGGTGCAATAAGAAAGGTCATTTCAAAGTGTTGTGCAAAACCAAGATGTTAAAGGAGGTTTGTCCTCAGGGCTGCGTCAGAGGCTAATCCAACCATCATTGAGGAGACGGAATCAGACCCAGATTGGAATGTCGAGCTGCTGGTTAATTGCAGCCCAATCAGTTTCAAAATAGATACAGGAGCTGACACAACAGTGATGACTGAGGCAGTCTTCAGTTCAATACAGCAGAGACCAAAGCTGACTCGTTCAAAGGATGATAGTGTACAGCCCAGGAGGAAAAGTCAGGTGGATAGGGAAATTCCTTGCCACAACAACGTATAAAGGCAGAAAATACCAGTACTGGATTACAGTCATAAGAGGGCAATATGTGAGCAACCTGCTAGGCAAGACAGTGGCAAAGCACATGGGACTGGTCGCAAGAGTTAATGAAATCAAAAGTGGCCTGACAGGAGATGTGTTTGGGTAAATAGGATTGCTGGACTGTGAGCCCGTTAAGATAGAATTGACAGAGGGTGTAGTGCCACACTGTGTAAAAACGCCGCGCAGAGTACCTTTTCCCCTCCTCTTTAAGGTGGAGAAGGAGTTGAAGCGCATGCTCAGACTTGACATCATAGAGGAGGTTACAGAGCCCACATACTGGTGCACGCCAATGGTGCCAGTTCCAAAGCGTAACAAAGATGAGGTCAGGGTGTGTGTGGATTTAAAATGTCTGAACAAGGGAGTAAAGCGGGAGCGTTACATGCTGCCCACACTAGATGACATAACACCCAAGTTGGCTGGAGCAAAGGTTTTCTCCACTCTGGATGCCTCAAGTGGGTTTTGGCAGATTCCATTGGACCCTGCCTGCCAGAAACTAACCACATTCATAACTCCCATGGGCAGGTTCTGCTTCAAATGGCTACCATTCGGCATCACATTGGCACTTGAGATCTTCCAGCGGCTGATGAGCATTTTGCTCAAGGACCTAGATGGGACAGTTATCGTGATGGACAACATTCTGGTTTATGGGGCCAATAAAGAGGAGCACGACTGGTGCCTGGAGGCTGTGCTACAGACAATAACAGCATCAGGCCTCAAGTTAAACAGAGCCAAATGCCACATTGGGAAAACTGAACAATACTTCGGACATGTCATCAGTGCGGATGGGATAAAACCAGACGACAGTAAAGTGGAGGCTGTTGGCAAGTTGCCCAGCCCCATAAATGTGGAGCAAGGTCGCCATGTGCTGGGACTGATAAATTACGTGGGCAGGTTTCTGCCAGGACTGTCCACCATACTGCACCCACTCACCAACCTACTGAGAAAAGAGTGCATGGGTCTGGGGAGAGTCCCAGGAGTAAGCATTTAACAGAGCAAAAGAATTGCTGGGGGTAGTACCAGCCCTCTGCTACTATGATGTAACCCGTATAACAGTGGTTAGTGCAGACGCCAGTAGCTATGACCTGGGGGCAGCACTCTTGCAGGACTATGAGGGAGTGCTACGACCGGTTGCCTTCAGTTCACGCACGCTCACGGATGCGGAGAAGCGATATTCACAGATTGAGAAAGAATGCTTGGCGTGTGTGTGGGCCTATGAGCAAAACTTTTGCCCATTACATCCAAGGTATGGGCCATGTCCATCTTCAAACAGACCATAAGCCATTGGTGCCACTAATCAATACCTATGATCTCGACAGAACTCCATTGAGGTGCCAGAGACTGTTGATGCGCCTAATGCGGTTTAACGTGACGGCGGAGCATGTTCCGGGCAAACAGCTTGTGGTGGCGGACACACTCTCAAGACTTCCGCTGGAGGGAGATCACAAGTTGGACATGGATGGCCTAGTCAAAGCATATGTGAATACTGTCATGGGCAATAAACCCATCAGGTCACACAAGTTGGAGGAAATCTCCAGGGCCACACAGAGTGATGCCGACCTTCAAAAAGTAATAGCCTTCATCAGGTCAGTGGCCTCAGAGCATGGCAGAGTTCTCCCCAGTGCGAGGGTTTCATGCAGCCAGGGCTCATCTTTCAGAGTCAGATGGTTTAGTGCTGTACCAGGATCGCATTGTGATTCCTACAATGCTCAGATCCAACATACTGGACCAACTGCATGTAGGTCACCAAGGATTAACAGAGTGTCGAGAGCGTGCTAAGTCATCAGTGTGGTGGCCCGGTATTGGGGCACAGATCACAGAGAAAGTAAGAACATGTGACTTTTGCAGAGAGCACAAACCCACACAGAGATGGGAACCACTCTTAACTGCTCCCCTGCCTGGCGGCCCGTGGCAAAGAATAGTGACCGACCTGTGTGAGTTGGAGGGTAAGAGTTTCCTCATTGTAGTGGATTATTTTTCGAGGGATATTGAAATAGCTTCTCTAACTACTTCTACGAGCAGACAGGTGATAAACAAGCTCAAGCACATGTTTGTGAGATGGGGGATTCCCTTGGAACTGGTCAGCGACAATGCGACACAGTTCACATCGGCAGAGTTCCAGGACTTTAGGCAGAAGTATGGGTTCAATCACATTACCTCCAGCCCACACTATCCACAGGGCAATGGAGCTGCCGAGAGAGCTGTCCAGACAGCTAAGCACATTCTCAAACAGCCAGACCCCTGCCTAGCTTTAATGAGCTATCGTTCCACACCAATTGCAGCTACTGGTGCAAGCCCTGCTCAGCTTATGACAGGAAGACAGATTCGCACAACTCTCCCAGTGCTTGAAAATACATTACTGCCACACCCAGTATCCCATGATCTGGTCCCCCAGAAGGACAGTGTAGTGAAGAAAGCCTACAAGTTCTTCTATAACCGCAGACATTCAGCTCATTCACTCCCTGAACTGTGTCCAGGTCAGGTTGTCAGAGTGAAACTCGACGGGGGTAAAGACTGGAAAACACCTGCTAAGGTCATCAGCAGGTCAAAAGAATCAAGGTCTTACTTGGTGGAAATGGACAATGGGACGATGTTGCGGCGCAATAGACGTCACCTTCAGGCTGTTCCTGAGATAAACAACCCTACAGAGCAGCAACAACAAGCCGAATCTGGGGCATTGCAGCAGAACTGCGATTTCCCAACATCTCAGGGGACTGCCCAACGAGAACCATCGGAGAGTCCAGTGTTGACAAGTCCCACCCTGGGATCTCCTCCCAGGTCCACCACTCCAGTGAGAATGACTTCCAGAGGTTAGGAGGTTAAAGTGCCTCTTAGATTTAGGGACTAATTGTAAAATGAAAAGGGCAGAATAATCCCTTATCTGGACGGAGGGTAGTCTACCCCAGTGATGTCCTGTGCCACGCACACACTTTACAGTGTATGTTTTGCTAGATGGTGAATCAGGTATGATGTTGTTATCCATGACCTGATGTGTTCTCAGTTTCTTTGTTATGAGATGAGTAAAATGTGGGACATTGGGTGGTTGTGATAGTCGCTTGGAAATTGGTATTAGGCATAGAAAAAAAAAGCATGGGGGGGAGATGTTGTGAGAGTTGGTTTGGTGACCTCACGGGGTTAGCGTAGGAACAGGAAACAGGAAGAGATTCGGAAAAAGGGGCCCATGTAAAACGCTTGGAGATTCAATAAAGGACAGGATGTTACACTGAGAAAGAGAACAATCTTCTTTTGTGTCGTAACATGACAATCTTCAAGTGCTGGAACTTAATATGAAGGACAACAAGGTCTACACTCACCATTGGGCCTCTCTCTCTGTTCTGCAGGAGATGTAGCGCTGGACTTGGGCTTGGTTTACCCCATACATGGACAGCCAAACCAGTGCACCACCAACAGACAGGCTCCAGAAGGTATAACGTTGCCGTGGGTCAACGTCAAACCTGGGGAAAACATCAGCAAAACAGCAGTGACAGTGTGCTCTTTTCATTATAACTGGAAATAATTATGAATGTCAAAACCAAGTTGCCGATAGTTCATATTTCCTATGCAACATTTAATTGTAGTGCTCTCAGCACAAAAACTAAACAGTGACTTCTTTTCATGTAGAAGAAAGAACTATACCCCAAGGTCCTCTAGGGCTATGACAACATTATATGATGTGAATATTTTGTTGCATTCATACAGTAACGTGCTGATATCCAGATACAGTATTTACAGGATGTGTTGAAATGAAAATGTTTTTACTCATTAAAATTAAGGCGTGATCCATTCTTGGCAATTTCCAGCACCAGTGCAGGACCACCAACCAGAATAGTACCGTGGATGAAAATGGCCACAAAGCCTGATAGCATAACAATGATCTGGAACACATCAGTCCAGATCACAGCTTTCATACCACCCTGTTACGTAACGGGATAAAACAGACAGACAGAGTGAGACAGACAGGTAAAAGCAATACAATAACTGAGACTTTTAAGTAAGGACAGGCAGCACCACATCTCTGATCGCTAGACATCTGTTAATGGATCATTCTCAGCAGAAACTCAGACAATAGGCACTGTAATATTAATCACATACTGCTGAGATGCAATGATAAACCTCCAATGGCTAGAATTACGCAGTCACTGCAGATATGCTTTGGGTTGCTTCTTGCCACTATACAGTACATTTCTAAACTAGTCCTGTCTGTAAAAGATGAAAGTTTTGGTTAGATGGAAAACATATGGCCTTACCAGTGTAGTGTACAGGGTGCAAATCATCCCAGAAGAAAACAAAGACGCCCAGATATTGAGTCCAGTAGCTGAAAAAACAGGTATTCTTATAGTGTTAATTTGTTTTCATGGAATATTCCTTTAATATTTTTCTTAAACTACAGAACAGAACTAGTGTCACAGAATGTGAATTCTTAGAGAACACCATGTGCTTTTGTGAGTGAATTAACCCATGCTGCCAGAGGGCTATCAGGTGATCTTTCCCACCTTGGTTTAGGATCAAGGCTGGTGCATAAATTACAAGCCCTGTGTAAAGTAGCTGCAAAAATGGAAACACAAAGAAATCAGCAAGTAACAAACTGTAGTGTTATTTCAGGTAACCTATGTGGTAATTTTAAAACTGAAGCTTGGTTTGTGCAAATGAATTGCCCTGGAGTTAAATTAACTAGATCAATCTTAGCAACAGCAAATATTTGCGTTAGAAAAGTTGTCAAAGTGTGACATTCTCGTTAGGAGAATTGAATACAGTAGTACTGAGCACCAGAGGAAACAACCATATCTTTCTTACCGTTGCTACAAGGAACTGGACGCTGCCCAACAGCTGCATCCCTCTGCCAAATCTCATCTTCAGATACTGTGACATGCAGACAACTTGAGTTACAACATGGCCGAGTATCTCTGCACACATCCCTCATCCTTCCTCACCTCTTATATTCATCTCACTGGAAGACCTGCAGGTGCATTTCATTTTTTTCTACAGTCATATTAGCTGGAAGTACTTGTTTTAAGGATTTTAATGTTTAAGTTTAGTTCTGTTTAGTTTGCTTAAACCCTCAAATCAACTCTTTTTTTCTTTTTGCATGGTCAACAAATCTACAACTACTATCTTTAAAGACTAATGAATGATTGTTCCTCCAATATTTTTTTTATGATTACATTATATATATGTAATTTTTAAAATGATTTAGACCGTGGGCTGCTTATATTGCTCCATATCTTCTGAATACCTGTGTAGGCTATAGCAGAGTTTTATCTAAATGAGATTCATCCTACTAGTTGAAGGCATATTGAACACTTGGTTTCTTGAGATCACATGAATGTATTTTATCATATCCACATTACAGTCTTGTTTTCATTATCATCACTTTGACTCACCATATACAGGAAAACATTATCAGTACAATGACAGCAAATGATAATGCTGTTGAGTAATTCAAAACAAAATAATTTGAGAATGTTTTCTCTTTATCATGATTAACTTAAATCCTTTAAATAACCATATAAGAAAATTTGAGAAACAATTCCAAACTTTTTCTGTCTTTCTATAACCTTGTGCTACTGTTCAATTCACAATGTGGTAATAACTGAACACTCATTAAGACCTGATTGGTGCTGGTGATGCCCAGTCGAAAGAAAACTGGGAGGAAGAGGTAAGCTGTCAGCAGAGAATTGATGCTCTGTCCGAGACACATGTAAAGAAATTTGAAGCCATAACGATACGTCTCCGCTGGGACACCCAAAACCTGGACTGCTGACATGAAACTGGCACAGAGCGACAGCCCAACAGGCACTGCTGGCATGCTCCGACCACCGGTGAAGAAGTCGTCAGCACTGCCGTTCCCTGGCTTCTTCTTCAGAGCCTGGAAGAGTCCTATGGCCATAGAGACCAGCAACATGGTAGCAAAGACAGCGTAGTCAGCCAGGACAAAGCCTGGTCTGGACTGTTCACTGGTGGACTGTGCTTCCATTTAGTCTGATGCCCTCTTCCCTGTAGCTGAAGTCATACACTAGGTGGATCTGTCAGAGTGAATTACAATTAGTTATTTGCCTTACATTGATGGAGACACATGACATAGACATATCTAATCTGCTGTAGATGAATGTAGTAATATCTTAATATTGCACTGTCCCATGGTAAGGTAACCACAACTACAGGAGGCCTAAAAAAAGTTAAATTGATTTGCTTTTTCATTAAATGTCTGAGTCTTAGCCTGGAGAGAGTCCTGGCTCTGTGGAAGACATCCTGTGTGGTCCTGGCTCCTAAAATATCTCATCCTAAGGGGCCAAAACATTACAGACCCGTTGCCCTGACCTCCCACCTGATGAAGACCATGGAGAGGATTGTCCTTGGCCCCTCCGTGCCCAAGTTAGCTCAGCGCTCGACCCATTGCAGTTTGCATACTGTCCTGGCATCGGGGTTGATGACGCTATTATTTACATGCTGCATCGAGCCCTATCTCACCTGGAGTCCCCCAGAAGTATGGTGAGGGTCATGTTCTTTGACTTCTCCAGTGCTTTCAACACAGTCCAGCCATCACTGCTGAGGGGGAAGTTGACGGGGGCAGGTGTGGACCAACACCTGTCTGCATGGATCACTAACTACCTCACAAACAGACCTCAATTTAAAGCTGAGCGACTGTGTGTTGGACATGGTAGTCTGCGGCATGGGGGCACCCCAGGGGACGGTGCTTTCCCCCTTTCTGTTCACCATCTACACGTCGGACTTCAAGTACAACTCCCACCACTGTCATCTAGAAAAGTTCTCGGACGAGAACGGGGGGTGGGGGGTGGAGGCGTTGAGTGGGAATACAGGGGGGTTGTTACTGACTTTGTGGAGTGGTGTGAGATGGTGACTTACCTCTGGCGGAAATCACCATCACTCACTCCGGTGAGCTTTCAGGACTCAGTCATTGAGATTGTGGACACCTTAAATACCTGGGGGTATAAGATGGATTGGACCAGCAACACAGATGCCCTGTACAGAAAGGGCCAGAGCCGCCTCCACTTGTTGAGGAGACTGAGATTCTTTGGTGGGTGTGGGGCACTCCTTCAGACTTTTTATGATACTGTGGTGGTAGCTGCAGTTTTGTTACGCTGTTGTGGGTTGGACAGGAGATAGCACGGACAGGGACAGAAAGAGACTTAACAGGCTGGTTAAGAGAGCTGGGTCTGTCCTGGGCTGCCCTCTGGATTCCATCGAGGAGGTGGTGGACAGAAGGATGCTGGTAAAACTAACATTTATCATGCATGACCCCACCCATCCCCTGCACCACACAGTGGAGACTGAGAACAGTTCTTTCACCACAAGACTGTTACATCCCCAGTGCAAGAAGGAGCGTTACCGTAGGTCGTTCCTCCCCACAGCAATCAGACTGTACAATACATCACTGCAGTGATAAGCTAGGTGAAAGTATGAGGGACTATGCAATAGTCAACTGAGGTGCAATACTCAAATCCTGGGGGTAAGATGCATTGTAAATACGTGCACGTGTAAAATCTTGTTCTTGATTTCTCTCAAATACTTTATATTGTCTTGTTTTAGGTATTTTTGAGTAGTACAAAATAAACACAGCTCCATAGAGCTACTAGCAGTCAAAAACTCATAGGGTACCTTTAAAAGTGCCTTGATGCATTTCTTCTATGCTGACAAAGATCCTTATTAAAGCAAAACATGCTGATTTATTAAAATTGCAGTGTGCGGATTTCATGACTGTTTTTTGCCTATAGCTTCTTTTTGGTCCATCACCTGCAAAAAGGTTTTGGATATGCATGCCCTATGATTTGTTTTGTTTCTCCTGTAAACAATGACATAGTGTTTCTCACTTAAATGCATTTTGCCAACTGTTTATCTTTCATCACAAAACATCTACAATAGCTGTAAACAATACTGTTCTACTAGTGGTGAAAATCTTCACAGGGCTAAATTAACTTTGCCCTGAAAAAGACTGCCAAATTCCCTGTGTGCATTTTTCCATGTGGGAAAGATGCACTAGGGAATTTACAACAAAAAGTATGGAAAACAAAAGATTTTTATTAAAAAATTGGAATAAAAGTGACAGAGTTGTTTAAAATGACAGCACCAGTTGCTTATTTAAATAACTTAAAATAACCGATGGTCATGTTCAGCACCATAAACTCAAATGGCCTGACATTCCTGTGCTGCTACAAAAGCCTTGAGCAGATTGAAGTACAGCAGCTCATACACTTCAATAATATATATAATCAGTGGTTATCACACCCATAAATATGGTAAAGGAAGAGGCTCCTGCACCTCCTAGTATTAATAGATGTGTGCTAACCTGGTGCGCTCCAGCGGCCTTGGTAACTATGATACAAGCAAGAAATTAAGTGACTTGTCATACAGAGAAAGAAAGTTCACATAAGGAGGAGGCAGCGGCAGATGGACGGTTGATATGTTGACAGAGGGGTTCAATTACAATGTGAAATGTGGTTTTTATTGACGAGTGTTTTAACCCAAATCATGACCTATTCTTAAACCTACCTACAGTTTTGTGTGCAAAGGAAAGGATGTATGTATAACTATGACAGTGAAGGTCTCTAACTGTGCCATAACTATGGTCCAATAACAGATCACAGACATGTTAATATCTGAAGCAGGTGTGGAAAGAATATACCAACCAACTATGCATATGACTTTTAAAGTTGAAAGTAAGGAACCCCACAGAACATAAAACGTGTGAACACTCAATAAACTCACAATAAATCATTTTTATGCATAAATCAGAAAGCTGAACTACAGTCTCAAGGACTCACCACTGGTTCTCCATTCAGCCCAGTTGCTTCCACTCAGTGAAAGAGGAATGTGCTGAGAGCCCCCACACTCCTCCTTCAAATAGTGCAACGTGTGTGTGTGTGTGTGTGTGTGTGTGAAAGTGAGTATGTGATATGTGTGCACACCATGTAAATTCCCTCGCAGGTTCTCCCGAAAAAAGTGACTCAGGTGTGACTGGAGAGACGGTTAGGTATAAGGTTTACACTGCATTTAGCAAGAACAAAACAATAGTTTATGTTGAGCAGCACTGAGACCCGTAGCTTACTTTCTGCAGCACTTGTTTCTTGTGTGTGTGTGTTGTTTTATGATAACATGTTGACCTCTGCTTTTATTTTGTGAAAAGAGAAATGTTGCTCACTCGTGCCCTTGTTTGAGCTGTTAATGATGAAATAAGGAAACACTATTTACCTGCTCTAAAAGATGATAATTTATGGATCTTTTGGGCACTGGTGAGCTTGGTGTACCTAATAAACTGAAAACTGTATAAGTATATAGCATTGTCTGCTTATCATTCATTATGTACCCTAACAGGTTTCCAGTTTAACAAATAATCAAGAACCAGAAACTCAGTGAACAAGATGTGTGTGTTGCAAGTCAAATCAAAGTGTTTATTTGTCATATGCACAGTTAGGAAATGTGTTTTCCTGTACAATGAAATTCTTACTTTGCCATCGACATGAATGCCACAAAATACAAATGAAATATAAAGTAGACACAGAGAGCAGCAAAGTTCATTATGTTACCATGAACAAGTACGTTATGTTACAAAGACAAGGAGTCTAACAGAAGCCAGCACACCTGGCATTACAACAACAGCAGTGCTATACACTCACTGGCCACTTTATTAGGCACACCTGTACAACTGTATGCAGTTCAATGCGACACATCTCCCTTAACATCTGTGTTCATCAAGTCAAGTCAAGATTTTTATTTGCCATTTATGCATAAACAGACAGTCTAGTCATATAGGAATTCTTGTGCAGGTACGGAGTCAAAGGCCAGAAAGAACACTTAGTCTTTAAATAAAAAGGTTACATAAAGGCAACAAAGCATTAAAATCGCAATACACGAAAATAGGGTAATAGTATTTTCCCCATTGAACTTCAAACATCGCACTCAGTAATTTACATGGTGGAGTTGGCTATGTCATTACGCTTGGTGAGGTAGTGAGGGGTTATAACATACTAAAACACAGTTTATATTCAGGCTTGTTTCCATTGCTTGGTAGAGAATGTCCTGCTATTATTCAGGTCCCACAAGAGAACACTGTTGATGAGATGCTCTTATAAAAATACCTTGTGGAACATTTCTGTATTATTATTGCGCATGCCTAGTAAGGGGTTATTGCACATATATTCTCACATTTTCATATTTGCCATCAGTCTTACTGTGGCAGGGAAAAAGCTGTTGTAAATTCTTGTTCTGTGTGTGATGATGCTGTCCGCCCTGCTGTGCCTGAGGCTGTAGGTGCAGTTTTTGTGTCTGAGTAGAGTAAGCTGGGTGGCGTGGATCCCTGAGTATGAAGCTCAAAATGTTTTGGTGAAATTGTCATAAATGTATAAAATCAATTAAATATTTATTACTGAGGTTATACGGTAGTTAAAGGTGGTTTTGCACTGGACTACATTATATTCAGAGGTGTTTTTAATATTCTGACCCTCATGTATGTAGCAGGGGAGGACAGAAATATAGAGATGTTTCAAAATTTTAGCTAAACAACTTTTCAAATGACACTCAGCGCACAGGTACTTTGTAGCAGCTTTAGAGAAGATGGGTTTGCATTTTTTATATGAATATTTTTTGCTTGTCTGTTTTTCCTATATCCATTATATCTATGCTGAATTCAAGATCACCGTAGCCACTGTTCTTGAAGGGTTTAACTACAACTTTTAACAGCCTTGGGTACTGAGAAGAAAGACTGTGAATGACTTTAATATGCTTCACAAAAAATTTGAAAAATATATTTAAAAAAAAAAACAAACCATGATGAGAAATGGTTAAAAAAAGTACAGTTAAGTGGATCGCAACAGAGTATTGGTAATTACAGGAACATATAATCTTGAACATTAAAAACTTCCTGCTATGAAACCACAGCTGTTAGCTGGTTCTCTTTTCCTGTAATGTCAGTTAACCCATTTCAACACAGAGCTGCATTTGCTTTCATTTATAGGATACATTTGTTTCTGAATGAATAAAAAGTTCCCATTATGATTAAATTAAAATTGTCTCTTATGACCTTGACAACTGATTGTAGCACTAAATGCATCTACACACAGGTGACAGTTCTGCCCTTTGTTGAAACAATGGTGGACATCTTTAGTGGTTAAGAGACAGGATTTTTTTAATCTAAATGGTTTTTTCTTTCCTTTTTTTGCTACTTTTGTTTAATTGGATTTAGGTGCTTCATAGTGTTGAAGGCAGATTGGCGATGGTTATACCTATTTTGCTTCTCTTTTGTCTGTGCTGTTTGAAAGCCTGTTTGCTGACTACTGTTTTATTAAACCCTCTCCTACTCTTGTTTCATTTATCCACATGGGAACATGAAAGTGCTTGGGAAGTTATGGCAATATATGAATCAGATGTTGAAATATGCTATTTTGTGTGTATATGTAATATTCGGCCCATAGGATGGTGGAAACAAATATGCCTAACCTCTTCTAGGGGAGCATGAATATGCCCAGTAAATTCTATGAAAATGTTTTGATTTTCTGGTGCGCAAATTAAACTTTTGGACCAATGGTATTGATAAAAACATTAAAATTAATATTCCTGGAATTAAGAATATCCACAGAGCATTTCATAGAAATGTGTTTACTTTTTGAAATAAGTTGGCATGGACTAAAATGTGTATCACAGTTAGTTTGACAAAATAATGGTTCAACAGAAAAGGCGACTAACTCCAAGATTATTAGGAATTAATTCACTAACACAGGTGTTAATTCAGGGTTTGATCTAAATTAAATTTAGTATCTTTCTTCTTTAGACCTTTACAATAGATTTGCACATACCTTTGTGTGAAATGTGTGAACTCTTGGTTACATCACAATATAAAGTCTGATGGTTAGAAGTAAATTATTCTGAAAAGTGAAGTATTGTGTTAAACATTTCCATTTTTAATGTCTTTGTAATGGTGCCTCACTTCAGTCAGTCAGTCAGTCTGATAGAGATGACAAACTGTTGACTTTGTCATATGTGTTTGTCTAAATCAGGAAATCCTGTTGAACTTCCTGTCAACACACTCACACACACAACGTGAATGCAGAAGTCAGAGAAGAAGGCGCTGGTTTATAGGAACAGATGAGGTCTTCCGCTGAACAAATGTAAAGGTAATAATCCAGTAAGAGCCTTCAGTAATACGTAGTATTGAACTTTGCTCTAAAATCTCCATGTTTAAAAATGTTTTTACATAAGTGCTAGAAATGTATGAGCTTAATGTTGCATATTACAATGTGGAGACTATGCTTCCTCTATGTTTTAGCTTTATCTGTTGCTACTTCTCAACTTCTATTCAGCTACTAAGTATTATAGAAGTAGGACTATTATTAACAAAGTATTATTACATACTATTTTGGTTACTTTACGCAGTGTGTTCCTGATGTGGCTACAGCAGAACATGGTGAATAGTTTTGTGTGATTTAATGGGAATCCCCATAAATCTACATTTGACATTTCAAAATATATGTTAGTGTCAGTTCAGATCACATGGCTGCTTTACTTAAAAAATACAAAATTCTTCACCATATGACAGTAAAATAGCAGTTATTAACATGACAGTGATATGACTTCACCTTACCATGAACGGTCAGTCGTGGTTCTATTTCTGCTGTGTAAATGCAGTTTTCCAGGCTTTCTCATGAAGTTTGTGTGGACAATGTGACAATGAATCACTTTCCCTTATCTATACACTTAATGTCAACGTGCCTGTGAGCAGCTCACAAAACTATATGAATTTCTAACAGTTCTCTAAACTGTCCAGTTTCCAAACTGTTGTGAAAATAATCACTCCAGCAGATGCACACAATTGAATTTAATACAAGTGTAGAATGATAATAACATATATATATTATATTGTGAAAACATATAAAACTAATGAGCACATTTGGCAGTGGTGGGATGTAAATTAAATACATAACAGTACAGCAGATTTTCATTAAAGCACAGTTTATGTATACCTATACTTCTAACTGACTACATTTCATTCAATATTGTATGTTTTGCTTCACTACATTTATATAAGGGGTTATAGTTATTCTTCAGATCAAGATTTTGTAGCTAAAATAGCAGATCATTAAAGGTGCATTGTTACCTTTCATTGGTATATTTACTGAAGTAACATTTTAATCCTTTGTCCACCATTAACATTTAAAACATAATAAGAGGAGTACATCTGATTTTAAATTTTTGCTTTCTTTTGTTTTTCATAGATCATGACACTTTAATAAACTATGGTTAAGACAGAGTTATATAATCTTTAAAAATGTGTAAAATTCTGATGCAGTATAGTGTATTTCAAACCAACTCAATAAAAGTGATGCCAAGTGATTAAAAAAACTGCAAAAATTACACAGAATGTTCAGGTTTATTAAAGAGGGTTGATTGTAATGAATTTACAGAACATTCACTTGCTGCTAAGCAATTTTGTATTCATATAGGCTAATATCACAAATTTGCAATTTGCCTCAAGGGGCTTTTCCTTTTTTTATGTATAGTGGTATTTCACTCTTGTTTTGATTTCAGTTTATCACTTGTGGGTGGGGATGAGTTAGATGCAACTGTAATAAGCTACTTACTAAATATTTAATTCCATTGAACTTTATATATTAATATTAAAGATAAATGTCATTACCTCCAAAATATAGAGTTAAACAATTTTTTAAGATTGCATTTCAAACACTGATATTAAGTCATCTTGTTCTAAATTTCATAACCCTTTTCCTTTTAGAGTTGCTGAGTGTGTTTATCTCATTCTTAGAATGGATTTGAGTGAGGAGGAGTCAGCCCCTCTGGTGATTAGAGAACGAGGAGGCAGCCAGAGGTCCAGTTCAAGCAATGGTCCTAGTTTACAAGTGCACCTCTACTTCATCCCTGACACAAAGGATGCAACAACAATACACATTTCATCTGGACACATTTCTGCAGAAAATGTCTGCATCCAAACTGGAAAACTTTGTGGTAAGATTACAATGACTACTCATGAGTCTGATTGAGGGCTTTTTATGAATAATAACAAAAGAAGAAGATGAATTTATTGTCATTGTATAATTACAACAAAATTCAGCATGTATAACAAAATGTATCATATTCTTTATTTTATACAGAATTATTGTTGCTTGTCTTGTAAATGTATTTTTTACAAGAATGGAAAGGGCTAGTTGTTAGGGAAGTGTTTGCTTCTTCTTTTATTTAAAGCTTGTTACTCACATCACATCTTCAGTGATTTCTTTCTTCAGGAATCTTACCGGTGTACCAAAGCCTTTTTGGTTTAGCATCTGCTGATCTCTCATTTTGGTATCCTCCATCACATGTGTTCAACACGGATGATAACGTACAAGTCCACTTTAGAGTCAGGTAGGTGAATCATACATTTATTTCAGAAGGTAGCATACACTAATGTCAAAATATTTTATGGAATGGGATATGACTGATATGGGCTGAACTGAAAATAAGAAAAACATGACAAAATACTATAATTTCTGTAAAATCTGTTTAGCAACTGTTGGTTTAAACAACATTATCTCTATTTGGTATGCAGGTTTTTCTTTGGAAACTGGTTCGGTCAAGGGCCAAGAACATCGTACCGCTACAGTCTGACCAGAGACAGAATCAGTCCAGTGCTTGACTACAGTGTCATTGATTATCTCTTTGCTCAGGTAAGGTACCAAATCTGTTATTTATTAAACTTGCTGACTCACTGAGATAAATCTTTTCATGTTTTATTTTCTATTTTAATTGAATAATACAGCACATGGCACACCATTATGAGTGAAATTTTATGGTTATTACTGATAGCTCAAAGGTCACACAGTAAACATAAAGTTATGCCAGTTTCCACAGGTTTTTGACATATTTCACCCATATAACTTTTCTATTCCTTAAATAGTTTAATTTTATTATTGCTTTTTTTTTTTTACTTTGCAGTCTTTTGTTTATGGCCAGGAACTGTTGCTTGCATTGTCCTTAAATTACAGACCATATCACAGGTTCATTTTTGTTTTGGTACACAGCTGCGAAGTGATTTTATTGCTAGTGAGGCAGGAGTTTCTCCACCTTTGAGTGCCCAAGAGGAATGCCTCGGCCTTGCAGTACTGGACTTATGGAGAATGACTAAAGAGCGCCATCAGAGTGTAAGAGAGCTCTGCAAGACTGTGAGGTATTTGATATGAGCCAGGAAGTGTTGTTTCACTTAATTCACATTCCATATATAAGTTGTCAACATTTCAGCAGTATGCAGTCATTACACCAACTTGTACACTCTCATGACATCCAGAAACGAAATCGCCTGGATCGTTATCGAATTCGAAACACCCTGAAGCGCTTCCTAAAGAAGCTTGGAAACTGCTCTGTGGATGAGTGCAGCTTGAAACTCAAGTACTTGATCGAACTGGCCGGTATTGAACCATCTCTGGGAAGTGAAACCTTCCAAGTGGATCCTTCTGCCTTCCAGTCAAAATCAGCTTTCACTCTCATGCGGGTTACTGGAGAAACTGGAATTCAAACCAGTGGAAGTAGTCAGACTGATGGTGCCCTGGTGAGAAAAGGATTAGATTAACTTAATTAGTAACACTGGCTAGTAGTAGTCAAACTCCATCTCAACAAGAATCTGCCTGTCTGTCTCTTATGCTTTGCTATCTCATGATATTACTGTCCATTTTAATGTTTTAGCCTGAAACCTCTATGTGCACTAAGCCTGTAGAAAACTATTTCAAACTGGCCAACCTAGGGTTTTAACATTATTATTATTAAACTGCACATGCATAACTGCATTTTCACGTTTTGTTATGTGAATTAATCTTAATTAGTTAGAGGCAAGTTCCCTTGAGCCTTGCATTTGTGATGACTTGATGTGGGCTTCTAGAAGTGTCCATATACAAAATGTAACTTACATTCTCCACTGCTCATATTCCCCATCCATGAGTAACAAGATATTGTTGAATAATTGACCTAACTTATTGTTTTTAGGAGTGGCAGACCTTCTGTGATTTTCACGAAATCGTTGACATTAGTATTAAGAGGGTGTGCCAGGAACAGGCTCCCCAAGACAGCAGGATGGTGACAATAACTCGTAAAGATGACAGATGCTTGGTAAAGGACATTCATTACTTCTCCAGTTGTTATTTGTCATTTTCAGATTTTACTGTTTTGGTTTGATGTATAAGGTGCATGTCTGCTTATTTGCCTGTGATTTGCTCTACAGGAAGCCAATTTCCAGAGTTTAAAAGAAGCACTTTCATTTGTGTCACTTGTTGATGGCTACTTCAGACTGACCACAGACTCCACCCATTACTTCTGCCAAGACATTGCTCCTCCAAGTATTCTGGAGGGTCTAAAAAATCACTGTCACGGTCCAATCACGTGAGTCATTTTGAAGAATACTGAATCAAGTGCAAATCTACATGTGTCTGTTTTTAGATATTTACTTTGTATCTCACTTAATCAGGTCAGAATTTGCAGTCAACAAACTGAAAAAGTCAGGCTTTAAAGGTGGTACATTCCTTCTCCGGCAGAGTCCCAAGAACTATGACAACTTCTTCCTCACTGTTTGTGTTCAGGTAAAACTTCCATAACATATATGGATAAGAGTTAAAATGTACTTGTTTGAACAGCTTTTCACTAGTTATGTCTGTGCACATTTTTCAATGATCTGATGACAAAAACGTGTTCCAAAAACCCTTAACTGTGTAGCATGTTGCTCGCTCAGCAGAGTAATTTGCCAGGATTTAAAGCACTGGTGATTACACATAAAAACAAAAGAGTCTGGAAATTATAGGCCTCTGTCTGTAGGTTTACCTCTATGCAGATGATGCACTTGTTTTTCTGAACATAAACAGAAATTCCTTAACTCAATATAAATTGAAGGAGTAAAGCTTGAAAAGTCACTTAGTGAGAGAAGTATCTGCACACTTGTTTGCAGCCATCATTTGTATGTCACACTATCTTATAATGTTGTTTCATTTCAATTAAATTTATATTACTGCAGACCCCACTTGGTCTTGATTATAAAGACTGTCTCATCAATAAGAATGAGCACTACAGTCTTCCTGGTGTCCAGAAATCATTTTCCAGCTTGAGAGAGCTCACCGGTTACTACCAACACAACAAGCTGTTGCTAGCTGAAGTACCTGTCAAGCTGGCCCGCTGCTGTCCACCTCGGCCCAAGGGTATGTTTCCAGAGTCATGAATCCTAAAGTCATTCTCATGTTTACATATTCTCGTGTATATATAAATCAAAAGAGTCAGCTCACATTCATTGGTTAACTAATAACACTCTATGCTGTGGTTATACTGTACATTTGGATGCACTGCTTTGCTTTAATGCCTATTGTCACAACAATGCACGTGTTTTGCACATGCTTTTGAAGAGTGTATAAACTTATACAGGTAAAATGTTAAAGTCTTATGTAACTAAGAAACAAACCAAATAAGTGCATATAGACATCATATCTTTGTTACAGGCCCCTGTTCCATTAATGTTTTAAGCAACCCAGGTTTCTATCAGTCTGTCCATATTCATTTGGAGTCACAATAATTAGATAAACAAGATGTAGAGAGAAGACCCATAACTAGGATATACAGTACATACAGTATAATTGCCGTCTCTCACCTATAACCATGTATCAACTCAACACCTCAATTTCTTGCTTAAACTGCAGTATGTGCCTTTGTATTTGCAAGATGTGTCAATTGTAAGCATGTTTTTTGCTGTTGCTGCAGAGCTCACAAATCTCATCATCATACGCAGCAGCAGCTCTGTAGAAGCCCAAGGGTCCCCAACACTTGAAAGGAACAAATTCAGTCATATCCAGTTTCATATGATCAAATATGAGGACCTGAAATGGGTGAGTGTGAAGACATGACTCCAGCTGTACTTATTAGGCTTGGTACAACTAGTATTGCTTCCACTATTTCCCCAGGTAATCCTACCATTATTAGCACTATAGGCTCTATGACATGACATACTGCTACCATTTCTACTACTATGACACTGTTCTTAAACTAAATGGAAGATTCAAAAGGTTCCTTATTTTTATCTAATTGTAGTGTCTGTATGTAATTTTATTTCTAGGAGGAAAGCCTCGGACAGGGATCCTTCACTCGAATTTTTAAAGGCTACAAAACAGACATTCGTGATGGGGAGAAACACAAGACAGAAGTCCTACTGAAAGAGCTTGAGGTTGTTCACAAGAACTGCTGGGAGGTTTGTTTTGTTTAGAATAAAATTCCCTGAAATGTTGTGTTGGTTATTCATAACTCTAACACATGAAATGTGTTGCTTTCTTGTGTTTTCTTTGTATTAGTCATTCTTTGAAGCTGCCAGCTTGATGAGTCAGATTTCACACAAACACCTCCTCCTTGTCTACGGCGTTAGTGTTCATGAAGTAAAAAGTAAGTTCAAATCTTCTTGACTGTCACTTGATTTTGTGATTGTTTGCTTATATGCTTGATGAAGCTAATGTGCTTCATGTGTTAATGTGCTGTGAATTATGAGTGTGCACACATCTAAATATTGTTTAGAGTAGAGCTGAAACTTGTATTTCTTTATCGTTGTCTTACCTATAAATCATTTACTCCTCTGCTTATGTAAAATTCTGTAATTAAAAAACTGAATGGATAAATGAATTTGTTCTCTTCATACTGAGCAAAATAACTATGTTACCATGAAACCCTAATGTGACCTCTTGTTCTGTCCTTGTTCTGTGGATGAGTATTTCTGACTCTGTGTTTGGCCTGGAGTACAGCTGTTGAAACAAGCCTCACTGTGCCTTTCAGACATCATGGTGCAGGAGTTTGTCAAGTATGGGGCCCTTGACCTTTACTTGAAGAGAGGGAGATCTGTGTCAGTGAGCTGGAAACTTGACGTAGCCAAGCAGCTTGCATCTGCCCTCTACTTTCTGGTAAGACAGGCTTTCTGATGTAAAGCAGTACATAATGTAACAAAAGTAATGACAAAAATCTAAAGTAGGATTGACTGGTGAAAGTTAATTCACTTTAAATACCAAATGTAGTTTTTGTTTTCTATGTTCATGTATGTGATGTAAAACAAAAATGTCAATACAATTCCAGTTTTTATTTTTATGTTACTGACAAAATAAAAGTGAAAGCTGTTGTTGAAGTGTAAAAATCCTTTACAGTAAATAAAATGATCCTTTTTCTGGATGACAGGAACTTGGCTAACCAGTACTTAATTAAAATTAAGATGTAACTATCTTGCAGGAAGAGAAGAACATTGTTCATGGAAATGTCTGTGCCAAAAATCTGTTGTTGGCCAGAGAAGGTGACCCATCACAGGGCAGCTCTCCTTTCATCAAGCTGAGTGACCCAGGCATCAGCGTGGCCATGCTGGGCAAGGATGGTAAAGCAAAAACAGTTTTTATACTCCCTGCAACCATGTCTGATGCCATCATACAGGTTCACTTCCAAGTATATACACTGATCATTCACAACATTAAAACAACTGGCAGGTGAAGGGAATAACATTGATTATCTCATTACAATAGCACCAGTTAAGGGGTGGCATATATTAGTCAGCAAGTGAACAGTGAGTTCTTTAATGTGTTAGACGCAAGAAAAATGAGTGAGCATAAAGATCTGAGAGACAAATTGTGTTGGTTAGGTGACTGGGTCAGAGCATCTCCAAACCACAGGTGCTGTGGGGTGTTCCCAAGTTTTAGGGGTCATTACCTACCAAAAGTGGTCCAAGGAAGAACAACTGATGAAACTGCCATAGAGTCGTTGGTGCCCAAAGTTCACTGATGTGCACTGGAAGCAAAGGCTAGACCATCTGGTCTGATTCCACAGAAGAGCTACTTTTTTACATCACTTTGACGACTACTTGTGTGTCATTTACCTGGGCATCACTATGGAAAGAAGGCAAGCCGGCAGAGACAGTGTGTTACTCTGGGAAATGTTCTGCTGGGAAATCTTGCTCTGGCATTCATGTGGATGCTACTTTGACACTTACCTACCTAAACTTTGTTGCAGACCAAGTACACACTTTCATGGCAACACTATTCCCTGATGACAGTGGCCTCTTTCAGGAGACACTGCAAGCCTTGTTCATGAATGGTTTAAGGAGCTTGACAGAGTTCAAAGTGTTGCTTTGGCCTCTAAATTCCCCAGATCTCAATCCAGTTGAGCATTTGTGGGATGTGCTGGAAGAACAAGGCCCCACCTCACAACTTACAGGACTTAAAGGATATGTTGCTGATGTCTTGGTGTCAGACACTAGGGGATACCTTCACTGCATTAATGCATGAGTTTATTTCTGTATGTGTTTATTTAGTGATTCTGGACAGAATTCCCTGGGTGGCCCCTGAGGTGCTGGAGGACCCAGACAACCTGACACTTCAGTGTGATAAGTGGAGCTTTGGTGCCACCTTGTGGGAAATCTTCAACAATGGCAACACTCCACTGCAAGGCTGGGACCTAGGCCAGGTGCCACCACTTTTCTACTGACAAGTCAAGCTAACTATGACAGAGTAACATCTTGTTTGAGTCCTAATGACTTTAATATTTAATTAAAATTTCTACTATTGTTAACAAAAATAATTATGGAAAATGTAATGTTTTAAGGCATCAAACATGAAAAATGAAATTATTCACCTGATCATGTGCATCCAGTTCACTGCCTAGACTTTCAGGCAAACAGACCTTTATCAGAGCATGAGACAAAAAGCCAAACAGAAAAAAACAGTCTCCCATATAGAGAGGAGGAATCATCAATTAATCAGTTAGCAAATATAGAAGACAGTACATGATTATGAGGGTTGACATTGTAAAGCACTTTATGCTAAATAATAATATACCTTACATGTTTATTAATATTGGAGAGGAACTGTAACTACCAATGCATAGGACTTCACCCAGTGATTATAAGATGCCCAAATACAGTCAAATATAAAGCACAATACCAATAAAACTATAGAAATGATAAGAGGCACAGCAAAAACTCTGGGTACCACTGTCATAAATTGAGGCGGTCACTTAGTATAGATTATAAATCTAGCCACAGGGGTTGCAAGCCAGTGACTTCTGTGCCAGTCCCAAGCCCAGATAAATAGAGAGGGTTGCGTCAGGAAGGGCATCAGGCATAAAAACATTTCAAATTTAAACATGCGAATCATCAGTGCAAATTCCATACCGGATCAGTCGAGGCCCGGTTTAACAACGCCCGCCACCAGTGCTGTTGACCTACAGGGTGCTGGCGGAAATTGAACTTCTGTTGGTCGAAGAAGGAGAGTAGGTAGAAGGATTCGTAAACAGAGAGAGAAGAGGAAAGGCAGGAGTATAGGTCTGAGAATAGGGACTCTTAACGTTGGCACAATGACAGGGAAAGGTAGAGAGCTGGCGGACATGATGGAGAGAAGGAAGGTAGATATACTGTGTGTGCAGGAGACCAGGTGGAAGGGTATCAAAGCGTGTAGCATTGGAGGGGTATACAAACTGTGTTATTATGGTGTGGACAGGAAGAAAAAAGGGGTAGGAGTGATCCTGAACGAGGAGCTCATGAGGAATGTTTTAGAGGTGAAAAGAGTGTCAGACAGGGTGATCAGTTTGAAGTTGGACATTGAAGGGGTAATGTTGAATGTAGTCAGTGGTTATGCTCCACAAGTAGGGTGTGAGTTAGAAGAGAAGATGGAGAGTATTCCCAGAGGGGAGAGAGTGGTGA